TCTTTTGTAAGAGTAAGTTGACCAAGAGGACAGAAGAAATGGCAGCAAATGTTACAATAGCTCTGTAATAATATTTTAAGTGGGGATAAAGGACCGGATTGGTTATAATGTAGTACAATAACACAGAGTTGTAAAGATACTTGAAAAACGGATAATTTTTTTACTTCTCTTTATAACCCCTTTGTAAACCCTGTTCACTGAAGTCTATTTACAAAGATACATAAATATATTACACATAAAAAATACACAGAAACATTGGAAATCAGTTTTTGGCAGACAATCACTTTTTGGCACAACACCGGAATGCTCCAACAATCCATCAAGCAGTGCGGCTTCGTAGCTTAGCAAAGTCGTACCAAAACATTTTTCGAAAGGTTTTCTAACGGCAGTGGTGTTCAGTGAAGGAGAGAGGCGAAGCAGAGTAACGTCGCGTAGAGACAAAAGTGGACGAAAGAGAGGCAAACCACAAGTATAGATATAAACGATATTGTCACATCTCATATCTCGTATAAAAATATATCGATATATCTAAAAAACTCGATATATTGCCCAGTCCTAGTTCTCAGACATAGAGGTCTTCACGAAACTTGGAGAAGTCCAGTTGCTTTCTTTCCAAGCTCTTTAGACTGCAGTAGTGGTCAAAACATTTGCTTAGCAAGCATAAGGTTACTGGTTTTAATTCCAGCTGTAGACACAAACCTTCTTTGGGGTTGTGTAAGGGAAAGCATCTGGTTCAAAAACATTGCCAAATTAAATATGTGGAGCTGGCTGCTGTAGCGTGTGAGACCTGTCGGTGGTCTGGTTGAGTATTTGGAGCTTCGCTACCAAACCAGCATTTCATCTCCGAGGAAGTTATCCCAGAGAGAAGTAAAGCAAGTGTGTAAGTTCATCTCTGAATGTTTGTAAAGCATTCCAGCGTTAAGCTTAACAACCGATATATGGAGCGACTGCCTCTTCTTGCTGCTACTTCAATCATGAAGCTGATCAATGATCAGCTGATCGGCTTTTCTGTCGTGAGTCTCTCTTGTTTGTTTATCGCCCACTTCTCACCAGAAAGAGGAAACCAGCGGCTGAACAACAGCAGCACGTTTAACCTTGATAATCTGCTGTTAGAATTTATTTAATATGACTTTCTACACCAGGATCTTTTTCTACAGCTGACGGCTGGTAACTGTGCAGGGGCGGATCTTGCAAAGTTTAGCCAGGGGGGCCGATAGGGCATGAACAGGGAAAAGGAGGCACAAAGACATACTTTTCTTTCTTATTCTCATTTAAAATGTCCAGCTTTTAATAAATAATTATCTGAATCTTACACCCAAAGTTTTAATCTGATGTAAAATATATAGAAGTCCATTACTGGATATAGTAACTGTTAAGTCTAATATACTCTAGTAAGCTATACTACTTTTTCCTTTGGGAAGATACCATCTGTGCAGTCTGCAATTCTGTTGAAGAAAGATGTTGAATCTATTTAATTATTCATGAAAAATAATTGATTTCTGTGCATTTTTTTTCACACTGCGTCAAATTAAAGTTGATTACATCGATTAAGCATCATGAGGGGGGGGGGGGTTCCCTTTTTTTTTTTTGCTGGGAGTTTTAGAACCCTATTGGTTAGGTTGCTTACTCTTTAAAATACCAGAATAGGGAGGATGGTGCAGGTTTAAATTTATTAGATTGATCAGTTTTGCTGAACTATGAAATATTTTGGGTGCAGTATATTTTTTGCATACAGTTATAACAGAATAGCTTTAGTGTTTGTTTTTTTTTTTTAACTTGAGTTTGAACTTATACAAAAAGCAGCAAGATATTAAAAAACTGTTTTATTGATTAAAAAACACTATATTGGATTCATATCGGTATCGGCCGATATCCAAATTTATGATATCGGTATTGGACATAAAAAAGTGGTATCGTGCCATTTCTAATATATAGCAAGTCTGTATAGGGGAAAATTAAAACAGTACAGAACGTTTTGTCGACGTTGTTGTGTTTGTTGGGGAGAAAACTTACAAACATTCAGTGCAGCACTTCAGAATCACACTGCTAGCGATCGAAGATTTAGGTAAATTTGACAAGCTGAACGCGTTCTGCACTGTAGGAGACATGGCACGAGATTGGCTGTAGACCATTGTCAATCAATCAATCAGGATGCAGAACACAATGCGCTGTTTAGAAAAAAAAAAAAAGGAAAATTACACAGTCTCAGTCTTCATACAAACATGATGTAAAAGTCCCTTTCTCTCCACAACTGTCTCTGTGATTCTCCCAATTAGCCAGGAGTTTTGATTTGCTGAGTCATCCATGATGATCACAATATCTTCTTTAGTAAAATTAAATTTGGTCTTTTTGCACTTCTGTTATTCTTGCAGCTGGAGAGGATGTTCTTTCATCATCCAGAATACATCTGTCATATATTGAACCTTCTATTGGCACAGTAGATAAAATACATTCTGCTTCTCAAGCCCTAGTATAGCGAACTATTTCTTTTGCACTAGATTTCTGAGCTCAAGAAATCTTACGCTGTCATTCTTCATAAACACAAGTGTATCGGTTTCCTTATCCACATGCAAGATGTCTGAATGTCTTTGTGAGTCATGTGTGACTTTAGCAAAAATGACATGGTATTTCAAAGACATTAACTGTCTTGGGTCTTGCTTTTCCTTCTGCACCTTTCCTTTCCAGTAACACACTGGTTGCAAAGCTGCTTCTTTTAATCCACCTTTGCTATATTTCCATGTTTCTGTGATTTCTCAGACATAGATCTGCAGTTGTCTTGGAGTTCTCCAAAGAGTGGACCTATAGCTATTTTTGCTTAATGATCAATATCCCTGACAAGATCAGCAAATCTTGCTCTGTGTCCTGTAGTTTTTCTTTCATTTCAAAAGCTACATTGTGCCACCTCTCCCTCATTTTGTATTGTAATGCTCATTTGGAAAATGCATTTTCAGTGGGAGAAACAATTTATTGCTCATTCAAGTGACTTCCTCAATCTGTTGAAAAAGAAGTGAAGACATCACTTGAGTGGGTGACAAAAGATTTCTCCCAATCAAAACACAACATCCAGACTAACAGAAAAAACATTCTTGGAATTTTTTAACTGGATGATTGAAAATGCTTCGCGACAGAAGCCAATTGAGTCCAATAATAGATTAAATGCAGTGTCAAAGCTGTTGTTTTCAGCATTTAAATTGATATTAAAATCAACCCTACGATAATTATTTTTTTCTCAACTAAGCACTTAGTCAAATAGAAAGTCTGACTCTTACTTGGATAGAAACTGTAAGGATAAAGAGGACAATAGATACCAGCTACTAAGGTAATGTCAGGCTTTCAAATGAAGTAAAAATCTGCTTGGGCCTTTGGGTGATTAATAAGCTGAAAGATTGCTGCCACTCCTCCTCAGCCTGTCCTTCGAGGATTCTGACTTTTGGTATAACTCGGGTGTGGTTAGTCATTTAAATTAACATCATCATCCTGCTGTAACCAGGTTTCTGTGAGGCAGAGCAAATCAGTATATTGATCAATTATTACACATGAGTGACACTGTAGTGATATAATTAACCAGCTAATCCGGCCATGCCAAGGCCATTCAGAAGAAGAGGGGGACAAAAGAAGTAGGTGGGCAGTATCACTGAATGCATTGGACTTTAGCTGAGTGAGATGATTAGCTAAGGATGGAGGGATGTAGTTGCTGAGGCTGCCAGGGTGCCCCAGCAGTCCTCAACAAGACTAAGGAAATGACAATTAATATAAACAGGAAAATCTCACCAAACAACGACTTTTGCCTCAATGCACTTTATATTGTGAGGTAGTATGGTAAAGACCCTACAACAAGAGTAAAATCAGAATGTTTTTGATGAACATCAAAATTTGTCATGTGAAACATTACGTTTTGGCAGCACAGCAAAACACTTCTACCTATAGCTGCAAGCCCCTTCTCCATTAATACCTACTCGGGTCAACCTGCCATGATTTTCATGGTTTTCATTTTTTCTATTAGGTCTCAGTACCTGTACCAAGTACTAAAATAGAACCTGCTTGGCCAGGGTTCCAAGCGATCCCCGCAGGTACTAAAATGTAATGTTGTCAGACTGCATGCCACCAATTGACTGGTCAGTGGTGTCACTCAATGAGTCATGACAGTATATCGTTCATGAAAATCAAAACTGCCATTTTTTTTAAAACCGAGCAAAGAGGGAAATGGCTACAAAAAACAATGCTGTGGTCCCTGACTCTGATGAAAAGCCACAGACCAAGCAGCAGGCATGTCAATGTCTACTGGACGCTCTGCCACGTTGCTATGATGATGACCACCCACATTAGGTGGTACTCAATTACAATGGAAAACCAGTCCATCCTAGGCGAGTAAATGGGAAAAGTTACTAATGGAAAAGGGGCTTTATTCTCATTGGACCCCTTTAAGATTTCAGATCATTTTGATTTTATCTGCAAATCATGTTTTGCCACTGCTTTTTGTTGCCATATACATTAGGTTACAACCTTTAGACTCAAAACATATGTTCAGTACATGTTTGCTGTTCCATCATAAGAGTAACTTCATGTTTGTTGTGTATTTCAGGTGCCCGATCTGGGACTGGGAAAATTACAGCTACTGTTCTTTCAGTTATGATTGGAATTTTTGCTACTGTTTAATTTTACTGCAAAGATCGAGGTAAGTTTGAATAAATTAGTGTGTCACCTTACTCATGATGTGAAGATAATTGTCCCCTTAATAGTTTATATAAACACAAAATCCACATTATATATTCAATTTTTTATTTTTTTTAAACAAAACTCTGAGCACATTTCTGTTGAACATTGTTTCAGGATCCAGATATCAAGACAATTCTTCTAGTATTAGTCAAGATAGTCTAAAAAGAAAATGTATAAATACTGACGAGGATCAACAGAGAAGTTAATGATGGTGATCAGAAGCAACTTTAGACCTGCCAGACACATTTTAAAACCTCAATTTTAAAGAAACAACAGTATATCATCACGATCACCAACAGAGCAGGTTAGTGAGGCTGTCCCAGAAATGACAGATAGTGAAAGGCAAATCAGGCAGAGCAGAAAAAATAACAGGACATTAACTGTCACCGGGATAAAAAAAAAAGACAATATGTATAAGAGAAATTAATGTAATTTATACTGTCTGCATACGATCAAGACAGATGTGATTTTCTTTTCAATTCAGTTTTATTTATATATGTCGAGATCACAACAGTAGTTGCCTCAAAGCACTTTGTAAGGTAAAGACCCTACAAACAGAGAAAACAATTGCAGAAATCATTTTATTGATGTAACTTTTTTTCTTCCCTGCAATTTCACAGCTGCGTGGTCTGTCACAAAACTGATGTAGTGCAACTGATTGTCTTAAAAATAAAAGACCATACAGATGAATCTCTCCAGTGCTGACATTATCCTGCTGTATCTGAAGCTGTGCAAAGGATGGAACAAAACGTTAACACCCAGTGTGTTTCTGGTGTTAATTTGCCAGCCTCACTTGGACTGCATAGGTGTGTATGTCCATCGCTTTCCAGGTTGTATAAATATCCAACAGTGTTTTATTAACTTTACTTAGTGGAAAAATGTAATGAAACTGGAATCCAGATCTGAAACAAATGTAATTTAAATTATTCTTCCTTTGTCAGTGCTCTAGGTCAGTGTTTTTCAACCTTTTATGAGTCGTGGCACATTTTATTGATAAAAAATATCCTATGGCACACAACTAACGAATCTTGTTTCAAAATGACACACTGTAGCCTAACACAGTACATATAATGGCAAGTTAGTCCCTCAGTTTGTTTATACTCATTCAGTGTGAAACCTGGTCCTGTCTAGAACACAAAGATGATATTCTGGCAGGAACTGAAGAAATTTAACAAAGTTTTGAAGAAGTTTGCGCACGACATCATCCAACACAGGATCTAGGTCTGCCTGAAAGTCTTGGCAACGAGCGCCTCGTTGTGCAGAAAACAGTGCATAACAATAATATCTGGGTTTATTGCTTTCACTCTGCTAACAAAACCTTTGGTGTGCCCGACCATGGCTGCTGCTCCACTCATGCAGTTTTCCCACTTAAATCCACCTTGTTCAAGATATTCAGATGTAACCCAAAAAATTTCCTCTCCTGTTGTTTTTTCTGGCAGTGCCTTGCAAAATAGAAATTTTCTCTAATGGTGTCTCCATCCAAAAAATGCACATTGGCCAAGAGTTGGGAATGTCCACTAATGTCCGTAGACTCATCAAGTTGCACTGCAAACTTCCCACTGATGCGTATCTTTTCCAAAACCACACTTTCAGTGTCTGCAGACATGTCATTGATACGTCTGGCAATTGTGTTATCTGAGAGCGGGACTCCGGTTATTTCATTAACCGCGTCAGGTCTGAGCATCTCATTCACAATGGCATTGTAGGCAGGTGGCATTAATGTCTCTATTACGATGCGTTTGGGTTTTGTTTGGTTTTTTTTTTTGATTTGGCTATAAGTTGAGCTACTAAGTAGCTAGGTTCGAGAGTTCTTTCAGACACCATTGTGTTTTTTCTCATTAAAGTTACCTGTTTCTCAGCGTGTTCACGCAGGTGAACAAAATAGCCTGTATTCTTGTTTTGAAGTGAGGGATGTTTTGTATGGAGATGACATTTGAGCTTTTTTGGGACCATGGCACTGTTTGAGAGCTTTCCCCACACACCAAACATAACAGAGTGGGTGCAGTCGGATCTCCAGTGAAAGTAAAATCCAAACGAAAGATAACTTTCGCTGTATTGCCTTGAGCTCATCGTTTTTGCTTTCTTTTGACCACTGCTCCTACTAGCCTCTTCTGGATTAAAATTTTGTCCAGGGCCCAGTTCAGAGTCTTCTATTTTTATTTTTATTTTTTCAAATATTTATCCATCTTTGTTGTAGTCTTGCAACTGCCACGTACCGCGCACATTACTAACTTTACTACTAAATCAAATCATTACTAAAATCAAATCACGTCATTCAACTTCAAAAGCAAAAATGTTCTTTGAAATGTACACAAAAGTAATTCTTTAACTAAAACTATGTCCTGTTATTCAAAGTTGATCATATTGCGCTAGTAATTACTCTACCAGTCATTGCACTGAAAGTACAGATGTCCATCAATGATTTTATTACTTGCAGTAATTATTAAATTGTATTTTTGGACCAAATAATTAAAATTAAATCATTTCCCATGGCACACCTGATGATCTTGCACAGCACACCTATGTGCCGTGGCACAGTGGTTGGGAAACACTGCTCTAGGTGTCCACCAATTTAATGATATTTGGTTTGTATAATCCTGCTGACAGAAAAACAAGTGAACTGACAAGATTCAGAAACATAGAGCTAAGGCTGGGGAACATGCAGCTAGTGAAAATTGCTCCCCAAACCACGATTCATATTTCTTTAGAATTGGTTATTCTGAATGATGTGCCACTGTGGTCACCTGACCTTTGAAAATAAAAGTTGAAATCCCCATTGTCATGCTGCCGATGAATTATGCTTGATGATCAGGCTGCATTTTCCACAGTACTTCACTGCCATCTGTGAATCATGTGTTGATGAATATCTGAAGGTAAACTAAACTGAAATTGTAACTGAAATACATCTAACTGCTCACAGTGCTTTAGTTAAACATGGACACTGTGAACAAGACAAACCCTGAACCTGCTCTAAATGAAGGTCAGCTTTTTGTGTAATGTGTCTTTAGTATGCATATGTCTTTGGTATTATTTTAAGCCTGTTTTCTTTTTGAAAAATAATTTAAAGATATTAAGCCACTCTGTGAGGTATGCTGTTCATGATTGATATTAGGAATGTGTTCATGCTGTTAAATGATTATTTCACATCACGCCATTTCACAGATTGCTTAAAGGTTTCTGTAATCATCCAAATAAAACATGAAAATAAATGACTGTAACTTTTATGTTTTTAAACTTTTAGAATATCCACTTTGTCATTCAGAACATGCAGCAGTTAGTGCACATGAAAATTGAATTTCGGTGCATTTACTCACCATCGGACTGTGCAATATAAATAATTCTAAAAGGGATTTTAAAAAAAGAATCTACAATATGTACATGAATATGGGAGAAATGTGTCTGTATGCAGTGGTCCCTCGTTTATCGCAAGAGTTACGTTCTGAAAATAACCTGTGATAGGTGAAATCCACGAAGTAGCCAACTTTATTTTATAAAAACATAAAGTTGGCTAATATAGATGTTTTAAACCGCTCACTACACACTTTATACACTTTTCTCAAACAGGCACGAACATTTTCACACTTTTTTCTCTTGTTTAAATTCTCTCAAAGTTCAAACCTTCGTAGAAAATCAAGTCCAATATTATAGAATGAAACCAAAGGCGCCCGCAGTTGACGATATTTTGTCGACATTGTTGTGATCGTTGGAGAGAAAACTTACAAACATACAGTGCAGCACTTCGATCGCTAGCAGTGTGACTTTGAAGATTTAGCTGAACGCATTCTGTACTGGACAGGAGACACAACACGAGATTGATTGACAATGGTCTACAGCCAATTAGGACGCAGAACACAATGCTCTGTAAAAAAACAAAAAAGAAAGAAAGAAAAAAAAGCATGCAAAATTGCACAAAAACAAAAATCTGCGAAACAGCAAGGCCGCGAAAGGTGAACCGCGATATGGCGAGGGACCACTGTGCACTCTTGTTAGGAAAAAACATGTACAGTATACTAGGACAAATAAATATTGAGATATTAAGAGTTTAAGAGTCTGATGGTGTGGGGAATGAAATTGAAATATGGTTGTCCTGGACTTGATGCTGCAAAACTTTTCTTGAGGGCAGCAGGGAGAACTGTGTATGATGGGACAGGGTCCCAATGATCTTCTCTCAGGGTTCGTACAGGTGCTTGAAATCCTTGAAAATGCTTGGATTTTAATATTTTCTTTTCAAGGTTTGAAAAGTTCTTGAATTTTGGACGTGGTGCTTAAAATAGCTTGAAACTGTAACTCTATTTCAGTCACCAAAGAGTAACTATCCATCCATCCATCCATCCCTTTTCTTCCGCTTATCCGGGGCCGGGTCAGGGGGGCAGCAGCCTAAGCAAAGAGGCCCAGACCTCCCTCTCCCCAGCCACCTCCTCCAGCTTGTCCGGGGGAACACCAAGGCGTTCCCAGGCCAGCCGAGAGATATAATCTCTCCAGCGTGTCCTGGGTCTGCCCTGGGGCCTCCTCCCGTGGGACATGCCTGGAACACCTCACCCAGGAGGCGCCCAGGAGGCATCCTTGTCAGATGCCCGAACCACCTCAGCTGGCTCCTTTCAATGTGGAGCAGCAGCGGCTCTACTCTGAGCCCCTCCCGGATGGCTGAACTTCTCACCCTATCTCTAAGGGAGAGGCCAGCCACCCTTCGGAGGAAGCTCATTTCTGCCGCTTGTATATAACTATATATTTTATATACTATAAAAAATAACTGTCTGATTGAATAGTTTTCTTATCAGATAGAGAAATAAAATGAGGCAGAAGTGTAAAAGCAAAACTTCGGGGGAGTTTGCATAAGTCCGAGTAAATAATTTATGAGTATGTGCTAGCTAGCAAACTCGCAGGATAAGTTATTGAAATGCACCGAGTGTGATGCAATACAGCAGCGCTATTATAACAGTTAGTTATGGCAGGGTAATTAATGGAATATGCTGTGAACTTAGCTAACATTACTTAGCAGTAGCCGTAATGTGAGTTACTTCACACAAGTGAAAGCTTGAAACGTTAGCCTGATACATAACTAGCCAACTTAAGGCTTTCTAAATAAAGCTAAAAGCGAAGTTCTTACTAACTAAGTAGAATATGTTTATATCTTTGTGTATTGCTGCAGCCTTTCTAGCTATTAACGTGGTGCCTTTGGCAACATCTCAGGGAGAAATAATGGTAATATGAGGGAGTGATCCATATGTGCACAAAGAATAGACACTTCTTTGTGCTACCGATGTTCCCTGGCTTTTATTCAAAATCTGTATACCTCTGTTTATCTCTTGACCGGCTTGCGTACCCGGTCTCATGTTCAAAATTTTTCAGAAGGAATTTCAGGAGAAAGGTCTGTCATTTAAAAGATTTAATTTGGTTTGGCAGTTGAAATTACAAGTTTACACAGCGCTGTGGACCTCTGTGTGAATCAACAGCATGCTTCACAAAAATGATAACCCTCAAGCGGGCTGTACAACATTATATAGTGAGACAAAAACAAAGATTATCATGGCTATCTTCCTCCCACACGGACGTGGCAGTCTTGCTGTCTACTGCGAATCATCCTCGTACCTTCATGACCTCATCTGGTATCTGCTCGGCACTCTGTAAGAGAGCCACAAGGAAAACACCTCTCTGCCTAGCCTTGATAATCTAATGTTATAATCCATTTGTTCTTCTACTAAATCTAAGTCTTGGTCCAGAATATCTTTTCCGGGACTCCCTAACCCAGAGACTTATAGAAAACCCATTATCCGTGTGTAAGCGTGTTTGCAATCAACCCTCTGCACTCTACGTCATTCTTACAATATATCTGTCTGGACAGTCAGTGCCAACTTAGATGAGCACATTTGCAGTGTGTATATGAAAATGATCTGAACACATTTAGTAGAACAAGCAAAAATTTTCAACCCTAACACTGGCCGCACGTGGTGCATACCTGAACCGGTGTGTCTGTATGGGCAGACGTAAGCGTTGGGCCCAGACTAGGGGCCAAAGGTGGGGTCTCTGGAGTTACCTTCAGTAACAGTAATAAATCACTTTCATGTAGTTGTAAACAGCATGATAATATATTAAGTAATCCAAAGTATTCAGAATACGTTACTCTCATTGAGTAACGGAACGGAATACGTTACAGAATACATTTTGGGGCATGTAATCTGTAGTGGAATACATTTTAAAAATAACCTTCCCAACACTGAGTACTTCTGATTTTAGACCTTAGTTTTCACAGGAGCTACAGTATCCAGAGTCGTACGTAGTGAGGAGGTAAAATTATTAACAAGATAATCGACCTCTGTTGGGGTAGCGTTCAGATAGCCGCTCTGCTCTATGTTGGTACAGGGCATTGAAGATGATAACAGTGGGTGGATTATATTCTTAAACTTAGTTACAGCGCTTTCAGAAAGACGTCTACTGTGTAATCAATTATTGTAAATGTAAATGTTATCAGGAAATGATCAGACAGGAGAGGGTTTTCAGGAAACACTGTTAAATGTTCAGCTTCTATGCCGTATGTTAAAACAAGATCTAGAGTTTGATTAAAGTGGTGGGTGGGTTCTTTTACATTTTGAGAGAAGCCAATTGAGTCTAATAACAGATTAAATGCCATGTTGAGGCTGTCATTTTTAGCATCTACATGGATGTTAAAATCACCCACAATAATTATTTTATCTGAGCTCAGAACTAAATTAGATATAAAGTCTGAGAAATCAGACAGAAACTCTGTGTTAGGCCCAGGTGGACGATAGATGATAACAAGTAAGACTGGTTTCTGAGTTTTACAGCTGGGGTGGACAATGTTAAGCATCAGGCTTTCAAATGGATTAAAACTCTGTCTTATAGGTTAGTGTGATAAATTGCTGCCACACCGCCCCCTCGGCCTGTGCTTCGAGATTTCTGGTAGTTAGAATGACTCGGGGGTGTTGATTCATTTAAACTAACATAATCATACTGCTGTAACTGTGTGTGAAGTTTTTAAATAATCTTGCCTGATGCTTCACTGTAAAAAGTCCATATATTTCCATATACGCTGTTGTAGCATGGTTTGGGATGATGTTAAATGCCTGGCCCAACCTCACTGAATGTGCCTGTACAAGGAACGCTAAAACCAACACAGATCACAATGTGAAAGACAATAATCTGCAGTCTCTGATAGGGCAAAATAGCATCACATGTGACACAACTGAGGCAGAGGAAGTAAAACTAAATGTAAGAACAGGAGGCTGCCAGAATAAAACAGGAAGTAATAAAATAAAAGAACATCTAACATAGAAACTGAGAGTTAACAACACAGGAAACACGAGAGGGCGAGAGAACTGAAAGAAGGAAATCAATACGTGCAAACTGACCCAGAACAGAAAGTACACAGAAAACTAACTGACCTTCAAGATGCAAAATTACTATAAATCAGTGGTTCCCAAGCTTTTTTTGCTAGGCCCCCCTTTGTTTTACAAGAATAATGTCCCCTACTACTGAACTACTAACTACTAACTCTTTTACACTACATCCACACCTACACGGGTATTTTTGAAAACACAGCTGTTTCGTCCACACGTAAACAACGTTTCGAATCACGGAAAACTGAGATTTTTTTAAAACCCATTTTTTGCGTTTACGTGTGGACGAGGAATACAGAGTTCCTCACGCAACGTCAAAGGTATGTGCCTTTTTTCATGTCACGCTGTGCGCACGTTATTGTTTACATGAGATGAATTGCAGAATGGCAGATAGAGACAAAATACTGTTAATCTGACTGTCTGCAGGTTTTACACACTTACATACACACATGCAGTTACTGTCTCTCTATTTAGAAAGACAGAGGCGTCACGGTGTGATTATTTTATGTGTAGTGGTTTTTCCCCTGTGTAATAATTTTCAACATTGCTATCAATACATTTTTCAAAAAATGCCTCTCTGTGCAAAATGGGTTCAACTGTGGGAGACTGTTTGTCCGGACAAATCGTGGCAGGATCAGCCTGATATTATTTG